TGTGGTGCTGGGGGATTGAACCGCGGTCCCTGTGCTTTGCTAAGCTTGTTCTAAGTAGGTGCTTTAGACCACTGAGCCATCTCACCAGCCCAAATGGAATAAGGCTTTTTTTTTTGTTTTGTTTTGTTTTGTTTTGTTTTGTTTTGTTTTGTTCCTCGAATGCCTTCAGGGCACTTTGGGCCAGCTGGACAGGTGTGAGGTTCGAACTCCAGCAACCTGAGGCTGACAGCTTTGTGGAAGCAGCCACTTAAAGGCCTGAGCTAGGGCCAGGCCCCCTACTTGACTTTATTAAACTAGAATTAAGTCAATTCCTGTTGGGGCAAGTTTCCTCTTTACCTCTCTTCCCACTCTGTTATTCCTAACAAAATTCCTATTTCTGTTATATATTGGCTTTACCATCAAAACCTGGTAGAGGGAATTACTCAGAAATGTCCAACCAGCCAAGCGCCACTCCAAACCCTCTCCCCAGTGTAAGGATGGAACCCAGGGCCTTCCCACTGAGCTGCATCTCCAGCCCTTTTATTTTATTTTTTACTTTGAGACAGGGTCTCACTAAATCACTAAGTTGCCCAGGCTGAGTGCAAACCTAGAATCTTCCTGCCTGAGCCTCCCAGTCTGCTGGAATTATAGATGTGTGCCACCATGCACAGCTCCACATCCCTTTTTAAATTTTTTGTTTTGTGACAGGATCCCGTTAAATTCCAAGGTCAAACTTGAATCTGTGATCCTTCAGCCTCAACATTCCACATAGAGAGCAAGGATCACAGGTGCACACCACACTCTCATTTTGAGATGAAGTACTTGAGGACTTCTAGTCTTTATTTTTGGGACAGACTTACCAAATTCCTATAATGTGCCTGGACTGTCCTTGATTTCTCCCTGCCACTGTCAGCTAGTCTGAGAGGTTGGGCCACCGCTCTATGAGCACCACGTCCTCCACTTTATTTACTGCACTTCCATGCTGTTCATTAGTGAATCTGTATCCTTGCTCTTCCTGCTGCCGTCTGAGAGCCTGGGGCCCTGCTCCAGCCCCACTCTGGCTTTTCTGCCTGCCCCAACAGACTGACTCTGCCTAAGCCTGTGACCCAAGGTTGGTGCCCCCCGCCCCCCGCGTCCGCACTCCCAGCTCCCACTCTGCCCTCTGGAGGCCCTTTTCTGGTTCCCAATGAAGGCAGAAGGAGGCAAAAGAGCTGGCCACAAAGCCTGGGATAGAGACGCCCCATGGCTACTAGCCCTGGCCTCTCCCTCTTGCCAGAGCCTCACCCTTGCCATTACCCCCGCACACATGCCCTTCCTTCTAGCCCTTCAGCTGTCCCTTCCAGTGGCTATGGCTTCCCAGAAGACAGAGGGTGAGGAGAGCTAAGCAGATTTCTTTAAAAAAAAAAAAAAAAAAGGCAAAAGCTCTGCTTCTAGGTGAGATACACCATCAGAAATACTTGGCAGAGGAGAGAATGAAAAGAGTTATGGTTATTTCTTATCCAGAGAAACAATGCTATATTTAGTCTGTCCTTCCCTGAGTAGGGCCCTAGAACAAATGTGTCACTTCCTTCAGCTTCACCTGCACGTGTGCCTTGAAAGCGTGAGTGTGAGTGAAAAGTCAGCTGTTGCCCAACCAGAACTCAGGACAAAATGTCTTACCTTCAGCTTGAAACACAGGTCCACTGTAAGTCTATAGAGCATACTTAGGCTCCCACGTACATTCTGATTCTTGAAAAAGAGAAAAAGGTATAATTCAGACAAATAGCACAGCTCGTCACAGTCTGGAAGATGACAGAACCGCAAGTGTGCCCAGTGGAACCCAGAAGTGCCCAAGGGCAGATGCTAACCCATAGCTTCAGGTAGACAAGGCCTCATCAGCAGGAAAACCTCTCCCACGTGGGCATAAGATGCATGAAGCAGGTGCTTTCCTGCCTTTCACAGACTGACAAATGGAAACACAGAGGTAAGTGCTGAGCTAGTGGTTAAACAGCGGTACAGTGAGAACACAGACCATTTCCTGGGTCCAGCCCAGCCTTCACTCGCACAGAACGGCTGCCACTGTGACTGGTGGACAGAAAGGGGATGAGAGGTAGCCCCTTGCCATGTAGCCCACCCCTGCCAACATCTACTCTGCTGCACCCCCAGAGCCTTGGTCACTCAAGCTGTGTCTGTGCAAGGCCTCACAGAGAGCTGGGGTGGCGCACACCCAGACAGACTCTCATCCTTTGCTGGCTGGGGCTCTCCCAGCCATCAGAATGGGATGGGAATGACTCATCAGAGGACACCAGGTAGGCTCTTTCCAGTCACCACCTGGCAGGATTCCATAATGCTGCTTGCAGAGGCCTTCTCAACTCCAAGATGCTATGCATTTCTTCTGAGAGCCCCAGCCACACACAACCTGTGAGAGCCCTTGCTCCTCCCCATGCTGTTCTGCACCTGTTTTCTGGGTGGCCCCATCATTCTATGCCACTCCCTCTCCCCAAGTGCTCTTCCTTTCACTTGACCAACTCAACCCACCTTTTCCCATGCTGAAAAGAAAATACATGGAAATGTGAGAAAGAAATGAAGTCGAAAGGGCTGGCCAGATAGCTCAGTGGATTAAAGCACTGCTTAGGCAGACACAGGGGCTGGGAGCTTGATCCCTGGGCCTGCCATGTAGGCCTCACCCCTGGAGTGTGCTGAGACAGCAGTTGAGACTGGGTGTGGTGGTACACGCCTATAGTCCCAGTGCTTGGGAGGCTGAAAACAGAAGGATCACTATGAATCTGATCTGTGTAGTGAGACCTTGTAGACCCTGTACTAAATACATTAGAAAGAAAGAAAGAAAGAAAGAAAGAATGAATGAATGAATGAAAGGAAGAAAGATGGAAACCCAAACTGAACCATGGCCTCCACTCGACGTTGGGTGAAGTAAGTGTACATTATTAATTTTGAATGCCTCAGTTTCCTCACTGGAAAACTGGGATTGGTAATACAAAGGTAGGTGACTCCTTTAGTAATGATAACCCAGCTTCCCCTTGGGAGTGGCTCCCCACCTGACAGCAAGATGCTGAGTAGGAACACTGACCTTAGGACCTGACCTGCCTTCTAGGAGTAGACATGGGCCACAAGGCAAAGGAGCTGCTTTCCCAGAACTATACTGTGACTCTGGCTCAATGCTGTGGCACTGGCCCTGCCCTGGGCCCCCCAAGCCCACAGACTCTTATTTTTGCAAGGCCTGGTCCTGCTTTTCCTCTAATTCTTAAAGCTACCCAGTGACCTTCCTATAAGCCTCTTTTGAAACCAAAAGAGCACATTTCTGTTACTTACAGTCTGCCCTCACATAGGGATCAGGAGGAAGAAGGGCAGAGAGTGAGTCCCAGCTTCTGCCCCCAGCTGTGCTATAATCTCCCTCTGCCCCCAACTCACCCCCTTCCATGGTTCACTGACAGCACTTCCAGCACACTGCCACCCTGGCTGAACTGCCCAGTCTTCTCCTCCAGGGTGGGGTAGGGGCTGACGATAGTCACTAGGTTGGTCCCATGGTTCTCCCCAGGTGGGCTGAGGTGACTTCCTAGGAGCTTAGCCACAGTTGCCACCTCAGGGGCCTGGCCTTAGCTCAGTTGTTTAAGTGGCTGCTTCCACAAAGCTGTCAGCCTCAGGTTGCTGTAGTTCGATCCCCACAACTCTCCAGCCAGCCAAACCAGCCAAACGTGCCAAACCAGCCATGAGGGCATTTGGAGCAAAAAAAAAAAAAAAAAAAACCTTATTCCACAGTTGCCACCTCAGCAGCACTAAGGGTTTATAGAGGAGGAGCTCTGCTCATGCTCTTTGACAGCAAAGAATCTACTCAGAAGAACCCCATGGTGAGTAAGATTTTTTAGGAATAGGAGGTAGGAAATCTCCCAACCTATTTACCATCCCCCATCAGAAATGGCAAGGTCAATGTATTTGTGTGGAAAAAGTGAAAATCAAGGTTGACAATGTTCTTCTTACTATTAGGTTAGCTATGAACTGGGGAAGTTTCTAGAAGTCAGGACTATATTAAGGTGGATAAAGCACATCTTAAAATGACTCACCATATTATTTCTTGAGGAATTTCTGTGTGTGCTGCTGGCTTTGACTGTAACAGACTTTTCAAGGTGTTTTGCCACTAAGTCTTCAAAAGAAGGTGTGGCATCACTGGGATCGATGAGCCACGCAGCAAGTCTGGGATCTAGCCCTACAAAATCAGCAACTGAAGAGGAAAAGGTCACTTAGTCTTCCCCACAGAACTAATAGGCATCACTCCCCTCCTCAACAAAGCTCTTAAAGGTCAAATGCACACCAACACTATTCCACTACCTGCAGATTACAGAGCTGAGTATCCTGGACTCTGTCCTCAATCACTGCCACCCTCTCAGGAGATGGTCTCCATACACATAGAGGGTCTCCCTGGGTACCACAGCAAGGAAGGATGGGAACTCCAAGCTTGGAAGTTGGATTTCTCAATACCGTGTTCCAAGAGGCTGCATGGGAACACTAAGCCTGACTTCGTGCCTCTTTTCTTCACTTTTCTCTTCCAGTCCTTGCTCTTTCCCCTCTCCAGCTTCTCAATCACTATGGGCGATGCGTCCTCCCTTCTACATTGGCCCCACCGGCTCTCCTTGCCTCCCTCTGTTGCGACCCTGTAATTGTGGCTCCTGAGTTAAGGAAGGTAGCAAGAATGTCCTTGTCATGTGTGGTGAGGATGGACTGATGTTCTCTAATCTGAAAAATAAATCCCGTGAGAGAACTAATGTGTGCACCACAATGCTGTGGAAAGAACTCTGGGCCCTTCCATGTCATTCCTCATCTGGAAACTAAGGGGAAGATTACTGTGCATATTTGAGAGACATATGCAAAGATACTTTCTAAAAAGGACATTTGCTAAGTAGGTAAGTTTTATCACTTCTTTTTTCCTTCCTTCCTTCCTTCCTTCCTTCCTTCCTTCCTTCCTTCCTTCCTTAACACCATCTCACTAGATAGCTAGCCCAAACTGGCCTCAACCTCATGGCAATCCTATCTTGGTCTTGCAAGTACTGGGACTACAGGTGTCTGTCACTATATTCAGTTTAGATACTTTATATTTTAAACTGTGCCATACAAAACAAAGGAGTTTAAGGAACACTGTACAATAGTGTGGCCAGAATCTAAAATTGCTACTAAAGACCACTAACATCTTTAAACAAAAATGAACAGAAAGGAGTTTGCTTTTCAATTAAATTACATTATATATTATGTTTTCTGGCATCTTTAAAATTATACTAGTATGAGAAACTTGTATTTACCAAAGCAGCCTGGGTCATAACTTTTTCTTTCTTTCTTTTTTTTTTTTTTTTTTAAACACAGGATAGGACGGATCTACAATTTGGTGGAATAGAACTGAGAATAAGAAGTACATTCGTATCTCAGTGGTCAGCTACTTTTCAACAAAGGTCCTAAGAAGATGGACCTTGCAGTGGAGTAAATTGTGCCCCCTGAAGGATATGTAAGCTGAAGCCTATGACCTTATTTGATGTAAAAGTCTTTGCAGATGTGATTATAGTTAGCATCTGTCCAGAGATGGGCATACTTACCCAGCGATGGGCATACTTACCCAGTGATGGGTATACAGACAGAGAGGAAGCCACACAGAGACAGGGAAAAGGGTAGGTGGAGGCAGAGACAGACCCTAGATTGTTAACTATCACCAAAACCTCGGAGGGCACGATGGGATGTACCCTTTGTCAGATTCCAGAAGAAATAGCCCTGCTAATATTTGTATTTTAGTTTCCTGGCCCCATAGATGTGAAAGAATAAATGTTGTTTTAAACACCAGATCCTATTGCGAGAGA